AAAAAAAAAAAAAAAAAAAAAAAAAAAAAAAAAAAAAAAAAAAAAAAAAAAACACGATGGACCAAGAGAGAAATTTATATATATGTAAAACGTTCACAATATATATATATATACAATAATTGAGATTATTATTTGTTCTATCGCGTGTATAAAACATATGTGTATACATACGCGCGTTGTTTGTATATTTGGAAGACGATTGTTGTGCAATAATGATTAATATGATACATACAGGGGAGCTTTGCTGTACAGATATGTAATTTGTAGTTACGTACCGAGAGATATGTGAAAAACGATTATGTAAATGAAGGCTGGTTATCAAATCAAACAAAAACAAAATTTTCTTGCAAAAATCGGAGGGTATTGTATCTACCTAATGGTGAAAGAAAATAGTTGGAGACGGTCCGACGTTTTGTATACATGAGTGTAATTTTCAGATGGACCTTTTGTTTTTTTCTTTTTTGAGGAGCATAATTTATCGTGAAATTGTAAAATTTGTATCAAAAGAGATTTTTATCGTCAAATATATTAAAAAAATACAATTGTATAAAATCGATAAATTTTCGATTGAATCGAGAAAACGGTAATTAAAAAGAAAGGTGCTACTCAACTTGCAATGATTGTTAATATGTCTAGCGACTGCATTGACATTATATAATGCAAAAAGTGTCTTATATTTGAGCAAAACGACTAAGTAACATAAAAAAAAAAAAATCAAGGAATAAAAGCTGCTTGTTAAAGCGGTGAAAATTATAACGCACAGATCAATCGAATCTAATCATTTGCGATGTAGCGGACGATTTACCAAAATGAGCTAATGCTAGCTCGTTAGTTTACGCTTCCTAATTCACAAGTTCGCTAATGGTACGTTGAGCTTAATTATGTATTTTTATATAAAAGAATAAAATAAATATGAATAAACAAGTAAGTGAAAATAAATAAAGTGAAGCCTTAAAGTTGGTATATAAATATTGTATAATTCAGATTTATGAATAAAACTAATTCAAAACAAATACAGCCGTTAAAAAATAAAAGCGTCTCTTATTTTACATTTATCCATCATCGATTGTAATACAAAATTTCCATTACTGGACACATTTAGACGTAAAAATTGAAAATAATTTATTACTTCATTTTTATATCAAACTTTGTACAATCTTATTATCGTTTTGTCCATCAACAGTTGCGTAAAATGTACAAATCTCTTGTTCCAAAATATCTGCTGTCTCGTAAGTATTTAGAAAGTATTTCATCATCACCATCATCCCCAGCACTTTCTCATAACTTCTTTATTTCCTCCAGTTGTTCGTTGTACTCGACATACAGTCTTTGCCAGCGCAAATTCGAGGACATGATTTTCAATATGTCCTCCAAGAGGGCATGCTTTTTTACACCCTGCAATTGATCAAATTCATAGTTACGCAGGATTTTTGTAATTTGTAGTTAATTTCAAAATATATATTAACAAATACCAAAATATCAGGATCCCAGGTGCTTTTGTGAGCAGTACTATGAGCTGGGCCTAACAGTTCGTCCAATATTATTCTCAATCGGCTTTCCAAGCCATCTGTAATTTTCAAGAATCGTAAGATATCAAATTAACAACAGTCGCAATTAAAAATCGTAAAACTCATGTGGTTTATACCATGCGTTACTAAGAAAGTCGCAAATGCCAACAGCCAATGGACGTATTCGTGAGAGCTGCCAAGAATTTTAGAGACAAGAACCTGTTGCTCCAAGTACGATGTTATGCACGGAATACTGTTTGGATTTTTCAACGGTGGCATGACCATACCGGCAACTAGATTTAATCCTTCCTGAAGCACAGCCACAGGCCCATTCGCTTTTCGATTGCCCATCACCACGGGGTTGTGTAGAGCGTTCATTGCCGACCACCGCCACACTGGATCTTGACTGTCGCCAATCAACAACCACGTGCCTAGTGAAAGATTTAATTTTATTGCTTTGATGATGAAATTCATTCACTCATTTCAATATACGTAACTCACCCATTTCTATGTGATAAACGTAAGCTCTGGCATTGGTAAACGCCAAGTGAGGCATACCATTGTAGAGCGTGCAATTTAGTATCGACATCCCGGGAGTGACGAGATGTGCAGCTGACGTCGAACAAATTAGACGACAGGCACTTTGAGTTATTTCCCACACTCGCACATCTCCGTAACAAGATATAACCATTACCTTAGGACAGATAATTATTTTTGAGTTTGCAACAACTGTTCTAAATCAAAGTTGAAATCGCGTCATTTAATCATAAAGTTTTTATTATTACCATGTTACCAGCAGCAACTAGCCTGGCAATGGGCGACGGCGGAGCCAGAGGCGGTGTAGCGCGGGCGCCTTTGGTCGTATAAAATATATGTACACTGCCGTCTTCCAGAGACACTGCTACTATGGCTGTTGTCGATGCCAAGCCCGTCACCCCGTAACCAAAGTACTGATCCCACAGACGTTCGGTACTCGTTTCTTCGTACACTTGCATGTGATACAAGTTGTGGTCGCTGTTGACCGTGACGGTATAGTGTCCCGTGTGCAAAGAGATGGGCGCTTTGGGTTTTAGCGACGGAAACAGCACGGGATGGCCATTGCGCTCGACAGGTATGCTTTTGGCCTTTTTACTCTGTGACTCCGCGTCATTATCCGTCGTCGTCGTCGTCGATGATTTCGGATCTTTACGCTTTAGGGTAAGCGCAGGGCCGGACGTCGTTGCTGCAGAGGTCGAAGGTTCCTCTATCCTCGAAAAACTAGAGATATTGCTTACGTTTGATTGTGGTGGTCGCACGACTTCGTCACGCCTTTCAATGACTATTGTACTCTTTGCTTGCGAGGTACTCGAGAACGGCTCTGTAGGAACTGATTTACCTGGTTCACTATCCCTGAAACAGAAAGAGTTTATAAAAGTTGTATTTACTGATGTATTTTCAAGATGATTAGTTTATGGACTCACAGTGTTTCTGGAGGTGGAGGTACAAACATGGGTGTGATTCTTCGCTTGCCATTTGACATTCTAGTTTCAATTTGCTTATCAATAGGTGCTTTAACAGGTGATTGAACCACAGAATTAGGCAAAATACTTTTTACACAATTCGTAAAAGATTGAGAAACCGACAACGATTCTGTAGTCACAGGGTTCGCGGGGACTGCAGAGGGCACAGGAACTGAATTTTGGCGTAGCAGGAGCTCGGGTGTCTCGATAATCGTGCAGCCACCTTGAGCTATTTTTCCATACATTCGTTCTTTCATATTCATCTACCAGAAAATTAAGAAATACTGCAATATAGTAAACCTAAATATTGATAATTCAATACACAAAAATGAAATGTATACCACTTCGACAGAATCTAAAGGACATCCTAACTCTTCACTTGAGAATTCCATAAAAACGACAGTTCCATCCATAGAACAAGCACACAGACGCATACCACATGACGACCACGAAAGATCCAACACTGAAGACAAAAACACTTCGTTTATAACAACTAAAGGACGTTTCAAGGGCGTTGACCAGATGGATATTGAACGATCGCGTGAGCCTATCGCCACACAACAGAATCTCATTGTTTTCTTCTCCTCGTTTTTTTCCCCTCGGTTCGTTGGTTTTTGCATTATATTGTTATTAAATTTCTGAAAAAACAAATTATAGAGGTCTTCAGCAAGTTGTTATAAAAAACTATAAACCGTAAAAATTTTTCATTTAAATACTAACAACGCATGTGACCGCTTTCCTGTGACCAACATAATCCTTATCTTGTTTCCAACCTTCTCTATCAATGATCTGAGCAGTGGGCCCACCTCCATTCATGGCATGAGCAGACACCAAGTACTGACCGTCCGGACTCCAAGATAACCTGAGGACGTGAGTAGTGCTGCCACATTCTTCAAAAGGCTCCGTGATCAGAGATTCTTGGCCCCAGTCATTTGTTCTCCAAACTCTCAAAGTCTTATCATCCGACTGAGTTGCTAAGTACTTTCCAATAGGGTCCCAAGCTACACCTTTCACTAAGCCACTATGGCCTTTCAAAATAGCTACTATGGTTGCTTTGGATGTGTCCCACACAATGACAGTGTTATCAACTGAAGCTGAAGCCAGCCATGGATTGTGGGGAGCCCATGCTAGATCCAATATGTCACCCGAGTGCGAACGTAGAGTTGACTTGCATCTCCATGTTTCTACACCAGCTTTAGCACCAAATAACGTACTAACTCCAACTCCAACTGCCAATCTCCATAACATAATTAATTTATCATCGCCAGCTGATGCTAACATGCCAGAACTGTTCCATCGTACACAATTTACACATGCTGAAAACAATAATGTTCGTGAAAATGATTTTCAGTTGTAAGATTATTGTTAATGAACAGTAAACGTAAGACTTTAAACCATTTTCACTTGATAAATGCAAGTTATTTCAAAGAAAAACCAAAATTTTGTGCTGGCAATGTCAGTAAGGATATTTAAAAAAAAAATTTCGTTTTATTTACAAATGTATCTCATTCGATAGTGTAATGTACAATCTATTATTCCAGTAAATTGCAATGAAAACTAGAATTATGAGAAATAATAAACAAAGAGAAAAACCCGACTGATAGTAAAAAATGTAAAAAAATAGTACCAAAATGATTGTCCATCTGGCACAGCATCTTTGGAATGTTTGAGTTGTTTTCTGCCTCTTCATTCAGCACTGGCTCGAGATTCCAAATGACTACCCTACCGGAATCTCCACCTGCGAATTGACAAAAAAATACATACAAATTTTTTAATTGAAAAATATCCATGAAAATCAAATAATCCACAGGTAGCCTGATGGAGATACTATTTACCTTGCCCGCCGGTGGCAAACCTTTTGCCATCCGGATGTATATCCACGGAATAAATGGGAGATCCTGAAACGAATAATACAGTCAACAATTACCAATTTAATAGAATAATGCACTAAAGCTCCAACTCGGTCATAAACCACCAAATAAGAGCCAGGTCGCCAACAACGCATGATGAGAAACAAGTAACGCAAGTTGTTAAAAAATAACAAAACAAAGCAAAAAAAGCTCGAAAGTAAGGTTATTTACTAACCATCGTGAGTAACCCAGTTAGGCTTGACGAGTCTCATCGTATTTCATGTGTGAAAATTTTTTGTATTTAAACACAATTCAAAGCTTCTCTTCAAACCTCGACACTGCTAAAAATGTTGGTAATAAATACACAGTTAAGATATAAAATATATGAAACAAACGCGCGGCCCGGCGTCACTGCAGCTGCTTCTCCTCGAAAACGCAGCTTTTTCCAACGGAGTACACCCGATATCTTGTTAATCCAAACCTTCCGAAAGCGGCATTTCTCCTCTTCATAACCATCAATCCAATCCTATTTCACTTTTCACACTTATCTCGCACCATCATCCCGGGAGAAGAATTACCACACACGCACTACCTCGATCTCTAAGCACCATATTATTACCACAAGTAGTACGTACAATCCGCGCCTTTTGCTTCTCCTCCGCGAGCGACCGAGAGCAAAAAAAAACAGGGACGCGAGAGTTTAAGTATATTGCCGGGGGAGTGCGAAGCACAAAAGCGACTCGCAGAGACAGACGTGCTCTCTACACTCGCGAATTTTGTTGTGCCATGCTTGAATATGCCCACCCCCGCACCGCGTGCGACGCGCTTTACCATATACATAAGTAGCCACCCCCGCAATCGGCGATAAATTGCCATTAAATTTTATCTTAGTTATACCGGTTTCCACTTAAATTATTCGTTATGGTCTATGTTTATAATACCATTTTGTCTACAACTCTGTTTTATGAAAAATCATTCGAGAGTTTCGTGCAAAACCATTATTTTTTTTAATTTAAATATTAACAGCTCTTATACTGCACCATGCACCCAACAGTGAAGTTTACGTTGCATCTTTTTATTCAAGAATAATCTTTAATAGATTTTTTTTTTTTTTTTCATCAAAGAAAACCGAACTTTCAAAAAATGACTTTAAATTTTCGCGCTGTTTTTTAAATCTGACAACAATCAAACTGCATTCAACCAGTGTTGGGTAAGGAGAGGATATGATTTTGCATTTTTATCACTATGCCTTATATAATAGCTACAGATCCTAGTGAGAAAAATGCAAAAGCTGAATAGGAGGGGGGAGGAGGCCAGTGGTTCTCCCCAAATGTGACTGGCAAACTTGTGGGAAATTCAAATTGGCAGTGTGGTGCAAACAAATACCCAGACAACTCGACACAATTACGTGCACAATAACTTAATAAACTAATCCCAAGCTATTTAACCAAATAACCCAATGGGCCAATAAGCAGCCTCATGAATTTAAATAAATAATAAAATTTATTAATTAATAAAGCAAGCGCCAATCCCCACACGACCCAAGGCACTTACTGGTTGCTTTAATTAATTATGATTAATTAGGCAATACCGCTAGCGCCTATTTCCACACGACCCAAGGCACTTTCTGGTTGCTTTAATTATTTAGGTTAAAAAAAATAATACCGCAAGCGCCTATCTCTACATGACCCAAGGCACTTACTGGTTGCTTTAATTATTTATTATGAATTAAATAATA